GACTGCTCTGACACCGAGCAGCTGATGGGGAACTGAGAGCTCACGTTATTGATCTGAAACTGGTCCCTCCATGAACTTTTCATGGGAAACTTTGCTTAAGATCAGCCTGTGGTGGGGCAAAGTCTCAGTCCTCTGGGCAGTTAATCAGAGAGTAGAGCAGACAGGATGATTGGAGTAGTTGCTTTGAAAAAAATTGTCCTTTTTACCTAAATATCAGGGTTTTTAATTGCATTAAAATAAGGACATGATCATGCCTGACCTCTAATGTCTGCATTTCTGAACATGTTTTTATTAGAACTTGCAGGAATCCTGGGAGAAGGCAGGCTACTTCTTTGATCTTCCGGATTTCTTATCTTGGAAAGCCACAGGTGTCACTGCAAGGTATGTTGATTATAACAGTATGATTTGGTCATCCTCATCTGTTTTCTTCTGGATGTTCTGCTTTAATTCATTGTGACTGGACATGCTGTTATGTACATCTGTCTGTAATTGAGTCTGCCCCAGAACATCTTGAACCTATCTCCTGCTTCCATGTGCATTCCTGAGCACAGTTGTTCCTGGGAGCAGTGTAGTTCACAGATACAGTTTGTTGCTACAAATGTCAGTTAATTGGTCTTGTGATCCATTTTGGAACAGAAATGTGATTGCTCTAGTTCCTGTAAAATACATTTTTAATAATTCTTTGAAATCTGGGTTTTTTTTTTAACAAATGTATTGACTTTTTTTGAGAATGGAAACACTTCTTTGCCATGTGGGAGAGATCTGTTAAAATCTTGTTTACAGTGGTCACTTGACTGTAAAACACAGCAGCTGTATGGCTCCTCAAAGCCTCCTGGGATATCTCCTGAGCAGTTTAACAAAACCCTCTGAGAGAACCCCTGAAAAATCTGCATTCAAGTCACCAGCACAAGTGAAGTGTATTTGCAGATAAAGCTCCTTGTGGAAAGTGAGGGACAATATTATTTACGGACTTACATGACCAGCTGCCAGTCACAGTTATTTCCACTGCACTTTGTGGAGGTGAATCTGCAAAATGTACTCTCAGATAAAAACTGGTCACAGGGTAGTTTGGGTCTCTCTGGAAATGAAGATACCTTTGCATCACACACAGTTATTTGAGTTATTTGAGTGCTCTGTTTCTCCCTAGTTAGTCCCCATGACTGACAGCTTTTGTTGTGGTGTTATATGTTGTATATTCCCTGTATTAGAGAGCAGGGAAATGCTGTGTTTGACTTGAAAGAAAAACAGAGTTGCTGGATGGTAATTGATAGATGGTATCTCAGTTCTTCTTCCTTTGGGTTTTCAGTGGGATTTGGCTGTATAACTATGAATTATGTAACAAAAGAACAACTCCCACCTCACAGATCTTGCAATCTAAGCGGTCCTCTCACCTGGCCCAACTCTTCCTTCAAGAGGATAAATCCCATGTCCCAGATGATATTCCATGCAGGATCTGCAACTCGCGAAAGTTGGATTTAGACTTGGATTTAGAATTACGACCCTTTAGTCAGGGCATTAGAGGGAGAATGGTCTGAAAAGTGAGGATACAGGGGTACTGATGGCTCCTTGGTCCTGCCTGCCTTTGGCTTTGTGCTCTTGGCTGCAACTTCCTGGAGGTGAAGCAGAGAACCTCTCCTAAAACTAGAAACTGTTGCAGAAGGTGATACTCAAAAGTAGAGATGCCTGAATTTAGACCGGCAAATGAATTTCGCTAGCAATGGCAATTTGATTATTCAAAAACATTTTGATTATGTTGATGAATGCTGTGAAAAGACTTTCTGGATCGAGTCCTCCCCCACCTTTGGTTGAGAGTTTTTTATTTTGGATAAAATAGTTCCTTGTAGGGCCTCCTTTGCTGCCTTAATGTTAAGCCCATTAACATTAAAATTAAGCCCATTGTTTTGGCTCTAGTGGAATGTCTTACAGGGTAGCAAAGCTGGAAGAAAAAGACAGGAAAATAAGGCCAAGAAATGTTTTGCTGGAATCAAACCTAATTTTTTTCCCCTTTCTCTGCTTTCCCTCATGCACACCTGTTTTTTGGGAATTTCCTTGTAGTTTGGTGAAGTAAAGTAACGTGCCCTGCATATGCTCATAATACAAGGGAGTTGTGAATTTATCAAGTAGAAGATTCTTCCCACCTTTTCTCCCTTTGAGCACAAAGGAGCCTATTCACAGGGCAAGACACAGTGTTACTCACTCTGAATCATACACAACTTGGCCCTGATAAAAGACAGATTTATTTTTTTAAAAATTTGTTTTGGTGATGGGGATTTTACCAAAATAAGTGCAATTCCAAAGGCACTTACTTCTTTAAAATTTTAAGAGGCTCTCTAAAGCATTTTGTGTATGTTTGACATTTGAAAACTGTGTATAGTCTTTTTGCCTTCAAAAAGTCAGAGTGAGGTCACTCAGAGCAGAACGTTGTGTGTGAGATGAGAACGGGACGTGTTTGAAAAGCAGTTCTTGATGTGTGTTTCTGAGTATGAAATCCTTTCTCTTTCCCCTTTAATTCTGCTGGCTTGAACTGCCTTGTTGCCAAGGTTTTTTCCAGTGGAACTATAATAAACAGTAAAGGCTTCTTATCTCCGAGCTGGAGATCCAAATGTGTTCCGAGATTTTTTACCTGCTGGCTTTGAAATTGCTCTGTGTCTCACTGAACGACACCCCCCCATCACTTGCAAAGGACAAGTTCCAAGTTGTTGATTCCCATTGTTCCTGGAAGACTGTTGCCTGTAATATTTCATATTTAAAATAGTTCTTTTTTATTGTTTCTCCTTGATGAAAGACCACTGGGGTTTTCTGAATGATCCTGACTATTCTGCATTGAAAATGTTACTGACAGCTCTTTAGTTAACAAATTTAAAACTTTGGAACTTCCCAGCTTCTGCCCCCCAAGGTTGCAACAATGAAGTGTTGGTTTTGCCACTTGAATACTCAGCTGTGTTGTCTCAGAAATGCTGTGGTGCAGAGGAAGGGCTGTGCTGTCACAGACACGTGTGAAGCGCTTTGCAGAGGCTCAGCACTTCGACTCGTGGTGAGCGTGACTCACTGCTCCCCTTCCCACCATCTACAACCTCTGATAACTTTTCCTTTAAATGGTGTTTTGGGTACAGCTATCTTAATAAAACCTAAACACTTATCTGGTTTAGTTACAGGCTACTGTGTGAAGGGTGGAGAATTCTTACCAGAGATGCACATCTGTAATTTCGGTGTGTTTTTGAGGTCTCGTGAGGGATTCCGCTGCAGATAAGGATATGGCTGAGCTGTTCAACTGGGTGGAATTCACACACAAATTTCTCAAAGGTCAAGTGTATTTAGACCCAGCATTCTGCTTCAGGGCCACTTCCAGTCATGAGCAACTCACTGGAAAATGAGTGGGTCTCTCCTGCATTTAAGATGAACTGTAACTAATGAGAGATTAAACCTGTGAAGGAGAGTTTGGAAACATAGGGAAGAATGTCAGGCTGACATTACTGAGATAGAGAGTATCCAACATTGTGCTGCAAACTACCTCCCAAAATTAGTTGGAACAAACTGAATATTTGTGCAGAATTTTTTTCCATATTATTATCCTCTAGATATGTTAATATTTTGGGGAAAGTAATATATTACCTAGGAGAGACCTCATCTCTTACAGGGATGTTGATGCAAATAATTTTCCTGTGGAAATAATTGTCCAGTCAGTCTTCAGCTGCTTGCCATCATGACAGGGAAAAGGGTGGAACAGATGTTTCTTATACTTTAAAGGAACTTTTCTAAATGATCTCCTTCCAACAGATCTCAGGATCGTGAGTTTCTCCAGAGAAAATCAGTTTTATAAGAAAGAAATTCATGCTGTTACGGTAATTACAGACTGCAAAGTGAAGGAGAAATGGTTGTAGTTGATTAAAAGCATTTCTGGGAACCACATAACCAATGTTAGTCTATATCTCTGTGAGAGGGGGTGATATCTTTTTAATATACAGTGTATTTTCAACAGGAAGATCCCTTGACTAATTGCTTTCTTTCGTTTATGAGTTCCTTGGCTTGAGCACATTTAAAGAGCTGTCTCTTTATGTTAAGCAGTGACCGAGTCCCTAAAATTTATTTGTCACCCGTTTCCAGTTGCTTATCGTTAGGGCTTGAGATGGCTCCGTTGCACTGATGGAAATCCAGAGGACTCCTTGGATGTTCCTGGAGTTGATGCAGAGTCTGCTGGGATCGATAGCAGAGACTGGTCCCTTGCTGAATTGCAACCATGGAAGTTTTTAGTGAAACATTAAGCTGGGAAGGTGCTCTTGAATCCAAGGATCTGGATTCAGGTCTCTACTCTGTTATATCCCCTACGTGATTGGAGGAGTGAATTAAATCTACATCTTCAGAGGCGTTCAGGCAGCTGAACACATTTGGGGATTTCGTTCTGGTTCATCCCTGTATTTGCTCTTCAGCTGTTAAATTGATATCCACACACTCTTAGGAGGTTTTCTGCTTTTACCACTCTGAGGTAAAATTGCTGTATCAATGGAGTCCTCACCAAATATTTTATCCAGATAGGCTGGAAACTCTGAAAAGGGAGAGACTTCGGAAGAGGAGCTTGTGTTTCAAGGTGCAGTTTTAAAAACAAACTGGTGTGAGTTAAATGATTATCTGAAGGATGTCTGTGTCTTTTTAAAGGATTGGGCAATCCTGCAGCGGGACGTGGTAACTGCACCAGTGCAGACACCCGTTTTTTGGGGCCAGCTGCCCTTCCCTTCCTTCCTAGCCTTGCCATGACTAATGTATACCCTTTGGCTGGTCCTGGAGTTTGGCTTCTTGTTTATATTTTGTGCCTAGTTCAAAAGATGGCTGGTTTAAAAATCAGGCCTCTGAGTGGAGAGAAAGGGCCGAGGGAATATTTCAGAAGGCTGTTGTGATTAGTGCTGAGCCCATGTGGCAGTGACAGTATCCTGAGCTGCACTCGGGGGTTGTGTCCTGTTTATGAAATGAAACCCAAAGCTTCAGACTTGCAGACTTGTTTGGAGAAGTCTCTGGAGAAGGGAGAATTATCTTGAAGGGGAGGGGAGGGATGGTGTTTTTGTGGATTGGACAAACAAAGTACCATGGATTTCTTGTCATGGAGCCAAAAGCAAGTGTCCCTGTGACGGTATCTTTGCCAAATGAGAGAATTCTACTGCTATGGGGCTTTTAATAAATTCAAAACATGTTCTTTGGAGGCTGGTGACACGTAGGCTGATCCAGAAAATAGGAAATGTTTAGCTGGAAAAGTTATCGGGACTGTGAAGGGCAGGTGCAATATGGGCCATTAATGTTAGATTTTTTTTTTTTTTTAATTTAAAAATGGTATGTCCTTGAGGCTGCAGAGTAACCTGAAAGAGTTCTGTGTGCTAAAGAAGAAAATTGTT